GACACTTAAGCCTTCGGAACAAAACAGGCTGTTACAAGGATCTTTCTGCCATTGACAGAAAACTGATTTTGTACACACAAACGCATACTGGTTCTCTTGTATTATACCTTAATATCATTAAGTAAACCTAGCCTTGGAAATCCATAATTCTCCTGTTAATAAAGTCATATGAAACAAAATCTTGTAATATAGCACATATTCCACAATAAACATATTGGCATGCAGTGGCTGCTAAGCATCATAAGCAATCCTGTGATAAAGCAAATAGATCTGCCTTGGCTCTACCACAAAATCAATCAATAATAATATCTGAGCTAATGAAACAGCCACTTGTAAAAATCAGTGTTTCCCGCAGCTTTTAGAAAACATGATTAATTTCTATGCATTAAACTGTATTACAGAGGAGGGAAATCATTAAGCACCTTTCAGCTACCCCTCGTTGATATCGAGTAATAAGAAAAGAGTTGTTGTCTCTGAAGCTGTTCCACTCCATGGAATTTTTTAAAATCCAATTACTTGGATGGGAGAGGAATATTCAAATCACTTATAAACCCTTGCATATTACTGCTATTCTTCTCGCAGGCACCGGGGAGCCTTTATAAACAGCTGAAATCAAGTCTTTGCTGAAAACTAGTTATGCACAATCTCAAATGTTTTGCATGACGGATGGCAAAATTCATGGGCATTCTGTTTTAAATTAATTGCAGTTGACACGAATGATCTCTGGTAAAGGAAAAGGGTAAGATTGCTAGTCTAGCACTGTCAAGCCCATAGAGGAAGGACACCAGCAAGTCGTGTTCCGTGGTTAGCTCAAAATCCTTAAAAAAAGAGTTTTAGAAACAAAATTTTGACTCTGTGACTTCTCTTTTCTAATCTGAAAAGGGGATGAGCATAGAAAGCAGTGTGGGGGAAAGTGTGTTTGCCTAAGGAGTTAATAAAGAAAAAATGGCACTGATGAGGAAGTCAGAAAGACATGTGGATTTGAAATATTTTTCCCTCTGAAACCTAAACAGAACCTGTATATGCTGTATCTTCTCTTCAGCCTGAGCTGAAGAGAAAATGAATTAGTCATTGCACCTTCAATTGCCAAAGAAAATCTGCCAAATGCTGAATAAGATAACCTTTTCCTTTTTTATTTCTAAAATCTGGCTTCCACTAAAATCCTTCCCTCAAGGCACAGTAGATGATCCAGGAAGGCTCTGGAGAGTGGCTGAAGAGCTGTGATGTTCAGCCACAGAATCAGCACTCAGAATGGCCAGAGGCTGGATCAGGACTGAGCCAAGAGGTAGCTAGGTGGGTAAGGATGACTCAAAGAGATGCATAAAGCAATGTCACTCCACTTGAAACATGAAGATCCACAACACTTCACACTCTAAGCTATTTTGCAGCAAAGACATTTCAAGATCCTTACAGTAATTGCTATATAATTCTAGCCCCAATTCAGGTACAGGAAAACAAAGCCAGTGAGGTTAAAAGCATTTGCCAAGAAAGTGGTCCCAGTGGTAGAACAGGAAAAGACATGACAGTCCAAATCTTCATCTCGCCAAGGTCCATGACTTTTGCTGCTGTCTTCATCAGACTCATGCTTTCACAAGAAAGTGTTCCCATTTTCACACTTTTTCTCAGTTATTTGTGCCTTTCATCTTAAAAGTTACAAAACAACAGCAAAACCTAACCCTTATCTCTGAAAATTAATTTATTAAATGGAAGTGTGATTATCAATAATCTCATGTATCCTAGAAGTTTGTTTAAAGCCAAAAGATATTAGGAAGATTATATTTCATTATTAACATTGAGACACTTAGTATGCATTTGGAACTTGTAGAGGAAATCAACATACTTTTCCTGGGATGCTATTGCAGAAGCCTACCAGCTAAGAGGGCAAGTCAGGCATTCCTCACCGGGACAAATATACGTGGACACAGATGAAATGTCTCAATGGGTAATCCCTGGCCCAGGGACAATCTAAGGTGCAGTTTGCTTTTCTTATTTGGGCCCCTCATATCTATTTACTCTCAGGTAGAAAAAGGTGGTTAGAAGGTATTCAGCTCCTTCTTTGGTCCCAGTCTTAAATTAATAGGAAAAGGCAATACAGCTTTTCTCATTTTCCTTATTGAGACTAATAAAAAAGTCATCTCTTAACAAGGCAATTAATATTTAGATCCATCTCCTTTGAATTAAATTGATATCACATAAACTAACCTAATTAACACCTGAGTAGGTCAAAGAATGATCCAGAATTATTTATTTCATATTATTTAAAAAAGCAGATGTAACTATACTCTTGCCTTCTGATGGCGAGAGTAATAACTGAAAAAGTATAATTTTTGACTGGAAAAGGGCATTTGCCCAAATGAAGCAAAAAATCTCCACTGCTTTTACCTATTTCTATACAAAAGAAGGTTGTTTAAAACAAACTGAATGTAATACTATCAGGAGGGAATGTGTCATCCTTTGGAAAACAAAACATGAAGTGCATGGAGAACATTATTACAGCTAGTCTGTTTTTTGTAGGACAGTTCTTTAAATTGCAGAGATTTCTCTGCAGGGATGGCTTCTGAACTTTTCAGTGCTGGCAGGTGCACAGTTTTCTCTTTCTATTAAAATATCCAGAAATCTTAGAATCCTGTCCAATACTCAGAGGGTACCATTTCCAAAGCACCTGAACATCTGTTCTGTGCAAAATTCACACATTTGCAGTCAAACTTTCCTCCCCATTGACCATGCTGTCTTCATCTTCCAATTTAACAGCTTCAGTAACAGATTTTATACAAGCCTTACTTTGGTGGGGAACATGGAGTTGTAATCATATGAATTTTGCTGTTATAACTCCAGTTAACAGTATGACACCACTATGAATTTTTTCTCATGCCATACATTGACAGTTAAAATTGTATTGTTTTAGCATTGTTAGCATAGGAATAGCAATGCAAAAGGTACCACAGAACAGCAAACAACACTGCAGATATAGACTGAGCAACACTCGAGGAAAGCCATCTTATTTCATACACGTTTGTCAAATAGGCGTCGAATTCTTAACTTATGTAAATAAACTGATAAAGTTTACAGTCTGGTCCTCACTGAAGCTTCATGTCCAAACATGTAGGTTCTAGATCTCTCTGAGGAAAGCTCACAGCGGTGTAGCTGCAGCAGTCTCAGTGGTTCACAGTGCAGCTAATCCTAGCCTGTACTTTCCTTCAGTTGAACTATCATGCCAGCAGAGGTGCTTATTTCCCATGCTTGAGATAGAAGCAGGCCAGCAGCTGGACAGAATTCAAAGGCTAGCACTCCTATGAGTAAGTACTATGCTCTGCAAAATTAAGTCCTTGGATACTTTGTCCTTCTGACCTCTGCTTATGCAGAGACAAGCCAGCAAGTGGAGCCTCAATCACTCCATGATTCCTTTCCATTTACCTCATCAATAAGCCCCTTAAGTCATGTGCCATCTCTCTTCTTTATACTGAATACTGAGAAGAATGAAGCCCTATGAGCTTAAAATAAACCTTTTCCTTCAAATACTCTCACCAGGATCAAAGGTAGCTGTGGATCTAGGGGAGGAGGCTTGGAATGACAGCTCTTTGTACTACCCATATCCACATCTAACTTTCCATTCTGCTGAAGGTCAAGTTTTTTGCACTGTATGACTCACGGGATCTAAATATGAAAATATGATAATATTGTTTGCAGGTATGCAATAATAATTCTCTTTCTTGCCAGACTGTGATGGGTGTATTCATGCAAAGATTCTGGTTTAAAAAAATATTACGAGTCATTCTCTTCCCTTATGTGGATCTATAGAACTTAAGCCAAAATATTGACGAAAGTATTGTACAGTGATTAATATAATACAATGTTTGAGACTATGATTGGCCCCCAATGTATCACAGTTCTCTTCTGAATTTTAAAGACCATAGTCTTAGTTTTATTTTATTCCTGATGGCTCCTTATTTAAACAATCTTTAAGACATAGTTTATTGTCTTGAAGACAATAGATTTTGCTCTATCAGATATTACTATTCTGTATTTAACACAGTTAGAAGTAACAAAGCAGAATTACCAACTCAATTTCATAGTGATAATCATCATACCATTTCAAAGCAATAAATATCTAGGGAAGATCTTGGACCAGCTGTTGGTGATACTTACCAGAAGGATCACATAATAGGAAGAGCAATACAGAACAAAACCACCATTGCCAAAGGTGGCACATGGCAAGCAAAGTTAATTCCTTCTCTAGAATACATAATCTGCCATCATATTTGCTTCAGGTCACTGGCAGTATTGTTCTTCAAAATTCTAGCCTGCTATTCATTATTAGTAAAAAAAACCACTCCTGCTCCCAGGCCCTCAGTTTGAAATCTAATATAATAAAACACAACTATGTAGGTATCTGAATAATATACTTGTAATTATAGGCATATACATTCATACATACATACATATAAATACTTCCAGCTTGTTCTGAAGCATCTGCATGTTTGTTTTATGCAACGGGACTGACAGATCAATGTAAAAATGTGTCTACACTTGTTAGAAGAATACACACTGCTCCAATACTATTCAGTCACCAGTAAGGAAATCCTCATATAAGAAGGAAAATAAATATTACTCTCTATTATTTATCAGATTTCTGCTATAGGTTTAATAATTAAAATCTCCCTTTCCAAATTAAGACTATGCGAGGAATAAGGGTCAATAAGATAATATAATTTGCTTTATTATATTTCCAAAATATTATATTAATTCATTTCATGAGAGATAGTTCCACATTTAGCATTATCATACTTTTTTCCAGATATCAAAATGGTCATTATCCTCTTAACACTTTGTTGAAAATTTATAAATAAATTCCTTCTACCATTTTTTATTTATGGGAAATTTCACCATTTACCGGGTTATGTAAGACACAAAGTATGGTTAAAATTTGCTGTGAACCTTCGTGCAAGGCTTTTAATATTAGTCTCCATTTGGGCAAGTCAAAACATACTGAAAATACCTACCTGGAATCGATAAAAGGTGCCATCATCCTTCAGTGTTAGAACATGGTCTGAGATTGGAAAGAAATAGCCATGTGCTGCCATCAGTGTTCCTAAATGTAGAGCTTCCACTGTTTGAAGAAAAAAGAAAGATAAACTTTAAAAGTGAAATAACTTCTTTTCAGCAGTTTAGTTTTGTTAAGATTCACCTGATCTCCTGCAGATAACCACTTTGTTCTCAGTCAAAGTCTTGCCATCATGAAAGACCTGTCTTTTTCTATGTAATATAATAACACAACGAAAAAAACCCCTGTACTTTCCTTCACAAATAGCTTTAAATGTCCCATTTGCAGCTGCAACTCCACTACTTATATTGGCATTAGCAAGTAGCTACCTCAATGTTCACTCACTTGTTCTGAAGCTAAAAACAGCCCTCATTTTTACTCTGATGGTGCAGCCTACTTTTATTCTTTAAAACAGTTTCTGATTACATGTTAAAATAGTTGATTCCAATTACATATCTTCCTCACTAGCTTTATCAGAGCCACTGTAAAGGAGAGAGATTTCCTTAAAAGTTTCTTGTTACTGGGAAAATAACAAAGAAACATAGGATACCAGAACAGTTGAGGTTGGAAGGGACCTCTGGAGGTCATCTCATACTTGCTCAAGCAGAGACATCTTGAACTGCTCACTGAGGACCATGTCCAAGTGTTTTTTGTATAGCTCAAAGGAGTGAGACTCCACAACCTCTCTGGGCAACCTGCACTAGTGTTCAGTCATCCTCACAGTAAAAAAGTGTTTCCTGATGCTCAGTGGGAACCTCCTGTGTTTCAGTTTGTGCCCATTGACTCTTGTCCTATCACTGGGTAACACTTAATAGAGACTGGCTCCAACTTTTCTACGTGCTCCCACCAGGTATTTATACATATAGATGAGTTTCCACCTGAGCCTTCTCTTCTCTAGACTGAACAGAATCTTTTCTCATAGAAGTTGCTCCAGGCCCTTAAACATCTTTGTAGCCCTCTCTTGGAGTCTCTTCATTGTGTGCATATCTCTCTTGTAGTGACGAGTCCAGAACTGGACACATAGAGGACAAATTCAATTCACTTTAATGAAAAAAATTCTAGTATGCAACAGTAAGGTTTACATGTGCTCCCGTATTTTCAGTGAATCACTGTCCAGTACCAGACCCTGAAATCTTTAGCTCAGTATTGTCATTATTTGTCTGATAAGAACACAATGTTGGAAGAAGAGAATTGCAGTAGTTGGAGTCATGGTCTTGTTGCAGTATTTAAGTCCTTCTATCTTTTTACCATATTTCTTTACCAACCTTGTAACAACTCCAGTACAAATCCTGAAAATATCTGTACAGCAATTTCTGCTTTACCATTAAAAATTTCCAGGCAAAATCCGCTAATATCAGTCCACAACCACCAAAGCATTCTAATTTTAGAAGTTATATGACAAAGCCATCAGTTACAGGAGCTGGTGCTAGATAGGACAACACCGCTGCTGAACAACACCAGCGATGAGAAAATTTAAAAGACCAATAAAAAAACCATAATGAACACCTAAGGAATAAGGGAAAGATGGGAAAGGGGAGGAAGAAAAAGGCAAAAAACAGAAGGAGAAAGACAAAACCAGCAAGATCTGCCTAAAAAAATTATTAAAATATGAAATCAGCATGAATCCATAAAGTATGCAGAATCAGTAAGGATGCATATTTGCAGTAAGAAAAACATGTTGCACCACCACAAGTTACAGAGATTCATATTCATCTTCTAAGAAGTGCTCATCTTCTAAGTGCTTATTTCTTCCTATTGCCTTAATTTGGCTTTCAGCAATGGCAAGCATAAATGTTGCAGCACAGCTTTGTCTCGCCCTGCCTCTTAAAAGCATCACTGCCATATCTGACCAGCAGTTACAGCATTATCAGGCAGAAAGAAATCTGAATCCTGATATCTGCGTTCTTGCTAACACAGAGAGTTTCACTTATGCTTCACCCATCGTTATTTTGAATATGAGAAGTAAACACAGGTTTATTCACTTACCCATACTTATCAGCATCCCAAAAAATTCCATCCTTCACTCTTTGCTCACCTGAAGACATTCACTGGCATAGGAGATACAGGAGAAGCAGTGGGACATCTTTAAACTAACCCAAAGCCAGCAAACATGTGAAAGGAACAAGAAAGGGCATCTGGCATACTTAGCTGAGATCACATAACTCTACCAGGATTTATTTGATACTAAATAATTAGTGCCATTTCTGTGTTTAGCAAACTGGTTCCTGTCCCTCCAGCAGAGCCATTACCTAAGAAAATACAACACATTCTCTCTGGCAGCGAGCTCTCTGGCCTGCTGTAAAATGCCCCAATGCTATTAACAAGCCATTTCCCACTTGCAAGCCTATAAGAATTGTCTCTAACAGAAAAAAGGTAGTTGCTTCACTCCTTGTGCTTGTGATGTCTGTAAATCTCCATGTGAACTTTGTCCTAATTATTATAAGTTCACATATTGTAGTTACTAATTCATTTCAAGCTGCTAAATTCTATTATCCCATGGATCAGAAATTTTGAGTCAATGCTTTCTCTAGTGAGTCAGTTGCTGAGGTTCTTTTTACTTTGGTTCACTTCATCTGCTTTTTAATTGTATTAAGCTTTTCTTTGTTTTTCACATTGGAACTTATTCCCGATTCAAAAAAATTTTATTTTTGCAGGTATTATGTATCTTCATGTGTGGTAGGTTGACCTTGGCTAGACATCAGGTGCCCACCAAGCCACTCTATCACCTCCCTTCCCAGCCAGACAGAGGAGAGAGAGTAAGATGGAAAATGACTCATAGGTTGAGGTGAGGCAGTTTACTAAAGCCAAAGTTTACGCGTGCACAAAGTTTATTCTCTATTCCCATTAGCAAGCGGTGTTTGGCTACTTCCTGGGAAGAAGGGCTTTTAGTATGCATGACGGTTTCTCAGCAGGCAGACATTGTAAACAACTAATGTCCTCTTTCCTTAGCTTTTATATCTGAGCTGTCATATGGTGCGGGAACATCCCTTTAGTTAGTTTGGGTCAGATGGCCTACTTGTGTTCCTTCTCAGGATCTTGCTCTCGATTGGGGAAGGAATGTTACAGTGCTGATGCTGTGCCAGCACTGCTCAGCAGGAGCCCAAACACCGGTGTGTTATCAACACCTTTCTAGCTACCAATGCAAAGCATAGCACTGTGAGGACTGCTATGGGAAAATTAACTCCATCTCAGCCAGACCCAATACATTGTGGAATGAGAGAAAAAACAAAGGAAGAAATGTGCTGACATTTTTTAGAGAAAGGATTTCTTAGACAAGGGTGACAGGGCTTGCCAGGGAGCTCTGACGCAGATGAGAGTTCATTCTCTTCAGATTTAGCAGAAACTAAATAGGCTCCAGATTTGTTTCATGTTCTTCCTGGATTCTGAATTATAATATTTTTCAAGATCACAAGGAGCTTACATTATTTTCCTTTACCCAGCAATTTTTAGACAACATCTGGACTACCATGTCCAGTTCTGAATAACATGTCCATTCCAGTACAAGAAAGACATCAACAAACTCGAAGTGAGTCCAGTGGGAGTTCATCAAGATCACTGGGGCTGGAGAATGCACCCTATAAGGAGAGGCTGGAGGAGCTGGGTTAGGTTAGACTGAAAAAAAGAATGTTTTGGGTGTGTCTAGCAGTACCTTTCCAATGCCTAAAAGGAGATTTCAAAATGAGGGAGCCAAGAACTTTATGGAGTTGCATGGTAATAAAACTAACTAACTACCTAAATAAATAGACAGTGGTAATAAATCACATCAGGGATAGTTCTTACTTTCAGCTAAGCAGCAGGAGAGGCTGCCCAAAGACACTGTGCAATCTGCATCCTTGGAGGGTTTCAAGACCTGAACAGATAAAGTCCTGGGCAAAATGTTTGAGCTTACACTTGACACTAATTTGAGTAAGGGGTTGAATTAGAGTCCTCCTGAAGTCCCTCTCAACCTGAATTATATTACTACTCTGTGATTCTAGATGGTCAAGTAGAAGAGGAACATAGAGCTTAAAAAAGGGATGAAGAAAACTGGAGAAGAAATTATTTCAAAGCTCCTGCCAGAACAGCCTTTACTCCAGGCAAGGTTGGCTACAGTAGGAGTAAGAGCTTGTCTTTCTCTCACTGACCACTGAGTCATAAACATAAGTACATATTCACTACTAGTTCTTTATGAAAAAATGGAAAGAGTGACCTGGCCTTTTTCAGAAGCCAATCAAGGTTATTTAAGGTTTGAATTTTTCCCAATAGCAGCCTACATCTCAAGTTATGTATGGAGAGTAAGTTGATTATACGTTTACCTCAGGCAATCTCATTCAGCTAGAATGAATCCACACTAACTCAATGTTAAGGTGTATCTCTGTTCCTTTTAGCCACTAGGCATTAATATAGACACATAAACTTGTCACTTCTCTTTTTTTTTCTTTCTTTAATTAATAGATAATTAGTTTTCATTTTTTTATGGCTATCAATTCATCAACTTAGTCCAGCATTACATACATATAAGTGCACAAATATATCCTTTTAGTACCAACCTAAGATCCACTGTAGCTCACACTTTGAGGGTTATAAAATTGCATATGGTGAATTATGTCCACAAGACTGTACGTCTGCCTCACACCAGGTTACTAGAGGACTAATGCTGCTGTTCTTTTTGCAGTAGCAGTAGAATTACAACATAGAAAGAAAACTCAGCTCTTGGGATGTTTCTAATCTCTGAGCAAGAGGTTGTCCAGTGTATTACAGACACAACAAAGGCAACACTTTGATATACATCTCAATTTACTAAAATCACACTGAAAAATTACTGTGTGAAGCCAATGAAGTAGAACAGTAGGATTAGGAAACAAAACCATGAACTTGAAAAAGAAAATGGAGCCAGCAGCAGACTAATCCAACATGCCTAAATTCTTAGAATTTAAATTCAGACAGCTTCTGTATTCCCCAGCTATTCCTGCATGTGAAGCTAGAGGATTTTCACTTAAGAAGCACATTTCATCTGCAAAAATGGCACATGTAGATTAGGAACATCAAAAACTTCTATGAAGTGGATTAGTTAAAAAGAAAAAAAA